CATGTGGCCCTGGCCCTGCTGCTGGAAGCTCTGGCTCTCTGCCCAGATGGAGCCAGAGCGAGTGGCGGGCCTGGGCAGCAGACCTGGGGTCACCTGGGGTGGGAGCTGGGCCAAAGCTCCTGGTGGCTGGAGGCACTGCAGGACCTCCTCTCAGGCCCAAGAGGGGGCCTGCTGCTGGGCATTGGGAAGCTTCCAGGGGGCATGTGAGTCTAGGGTTGGCAGCTGAGCAGCAGGTGGCATAAAGGTGACAGCCAGGGCTAGAACAGTGTCCAACACTTGGCAGTCATTATTCATGGCTTGCATTGCCCAGCTCAGGATAGTATTCTGCTCCCACAGCACCTGAAGTTGCTTGACCCGGAACTGCTGGTCCCATAGGTGATGCATTGGGGGGCACGTGCCCCCCCACCCCTAAAATTGGCCCTTGCCAACCATGGAGTGGGGAGTGCTGGTTGGTGCCACCCGCCCCCCCAAGAAGTGCCGCTGTCACTTCCAGCAGCAGTGACTGGCCACTGGGGGACCCTCCCCCCACTGATGATCAGCAGCTGGTGCCCCCCCCCAGACCCAGGAGGCACCAGTTGCCCATGCCCAGTCCCATTTCTCCTACCTGCCAGGTCCATGCATCCTCTACTTGCTCTTCTAAGACTGTCATCAGCTGCTGGAGGAGAATGGTGCAGTCCATTGTGTACCTCTGGTGGGGCCAGCACATCCACAGTGCCCTGGCTATGGGTGCCGGCAACCCTGATGCTGCATCCCAGCTGTCAAGTGTGGCCTCTCCCCTGTGTCCAGCTGCAGGACTTGCAGATCCATGAGACAGAAGCATTTTGTGAGAGTTTGCAACATTTCAGAGATAAGATGCTCTGTACCAGAGCACCATTTTAGAGATGGTTGCACAGATGTTAGGAGCTGGAAGGGACCTTACAGATCATCAGGTCCAGTCCTCCTGCACTTGGGCAGGAAAGACTGCTGGGGTCAGATGATCCCAGTAAAGTGGGCATTCAAGATGATTTTTGAAGATCGCCAGGGTGGGTGACTATATGACCTCTGGGGGGAAGCTGTTCCAAACCCTAGATAAGATGCTCTGTGTGTTACCCAGCCATAGATCAGGGGTTAAGCTTGCATGGGTGCCCAGGGACCATGATGAGTCAGTTGGGCAGATCCAGTCCCAGGCAGGCACCAGCTGAGCCCCCCATCCCCATGTGCCCCCACTGGGGCTGGGGGGTTGCTGGAAGTAGGCTGCAGATAGGCTACTTCCCCCACCCTGTTTCCAGGGCAGGACAGGCCAGGCTTCTGGCAGTACATGCTGCTGCAGCTCCATACCCCACTGCCCCCCCGACTCCTTCTGCAGGCCAACCGCTTTGCTGTGCTGCTGCCAAGCCCATGGTGCATGGGCTCGGGGCTCCCAGTCAACAGGGATGAGGAGCTGCCTATGCTTCTGTCCTCCTCACAGGGGGCCTCTCTGGGGAGAAGCCCCAGGGCCAGGTCCCCACAGCACTGCCACTGAGGCCCCTGCTGCATGGATCCCAAGCAATGCACGGTGAGCTGTTTGGGCAGACACCGAGGGGTGCCCAACCTACTACACATTGGTACTGCTGATCCTCATGGTGCCCCAGGCACACCTGCATTCCTGGTATGGGACCATGATCTATGATTGTGTGAAGAGCAAGCCTGGGCTGCCTCGCAACCTCTGCTGCTGCCTGGAGAGCTACTTGTGACTGTGCTATGTCTCCCTGCCCACCCCTCCCAATTGAGGAGGACATCATCACCTGCATCGATGCGCTCCTTGGCATGAGGCCCATGGCTACCTAGCTGTAGGGACATGGGCTGCTCAATAAAATTTAGCATTGCCTCTCACCTGAGTGCTGTGGTGGAGAACTCAGGGCTAGGGGAGTGCTGGTGGTCCGGGCAGGGAAAGGGCTCTCCCTTCAGTGCAGGCTTTACCATGTGCTGTCACAGCTGGTGGCTTGGCGTGGACCTCCCTGCTGCTGATGGTGTGTCCTTGGCTTACGGAGTGCGGTGTGCACATGCCCAGTTGTTGTCCCGGCCCCCCGAGAGAAGCTGGCACTGCTGGGAGCCAGTGGTGTCATGGCCAATCATGCCTCATGGCTGGCCATGGGGCTGTAGAGCTGGTGAGGCAGACACTGGCCAGGGCTCCCTGAGCTACTGCAGGAAACTGCAGCTAGGGAGCTGGGTGGAATGGGCTGCTGGGCACCCCAGGGGCAGGGCTCAGGCAGGCAGCCTGTGTTGGTGTATATTGCACAGCTGCAGCCTGGATTCCAGGGCACAAAAATGGCATCCAGTTGCCACATAAAGGACATGGATTTGCGGGCACAGCTGGACCAACGATTACGGTTGGTCATACCAACCCACAGTGTCCACAAGTCCTTGACCTTTACATGGCACTGCTGAGCTGACCAGTTTTGCCCTCGCTCCCACATCTGGCCTGACAGTGCCTCATAAATATGCATGTTGGAGTGCCTGCTCTGCTCAAACTGGCACTGCACTTTTGTCTTGCTCCATAGTGCCATGAGGTTGTCAGTCTCCTCCTTGGTCCAGTTGGGGCCCCAAGTGGAGGACATGGATACATCTGGAGATAGGGAGGAGGCCATGGTGGGTCCTATGCTGGGTCTCTGGGCCCCAACATGGCTGTCCCTGAGCTGCCGGGTCTGGACAGCTGCCAGCAGTGCCCAGAGGAGGGCCACGGCATGTGATAGTCAGTTGCACAGCACAGGCAATGCCCCTCAGCAGCTGTAGGTGCAGGGCAGGTTGCTGGGGGTGTGATGCAGGCAAGTGGTGCTGGCCCTGCTAGCCAGAGACTGCCTGCAGGTGGCCCTGGGAGCTGGCAGCCCTGGCCAGAGGCTGCAGCAGCCTGCAGCACCCTGCTGGCCTGGATAGCATTGTCCTGGCAGCTGCATGGCAGTGGGGTGCAAGGCAGCAGTGCTGGGGTGCTGGCAGGCAGGCACAGTTAGGCTGTGGCTTGCCAAGGGGGACACAAGGGCCTGTAGTGCCCTCAGGTTCCCTGTCTGTGTGCCCCAGGGCTCAAAATGTCTACAGGCTTTTATAGCCATAGTGGCAGCCCAAACCTGGCCCAAGAGAGGCTCCCAGCCTACAGCCCCCAAGGGGCTGGGCAGACCCAGGAGCAAACTTTCTCCCAGGTTGCATCTACACATGTGCATTTGCAAGTTGAAGCAGGATTAAGGTTTTTTACTGTGCAGTAAGTGCGCACACATGTAGATGCATGCACTTACTGTGCAGTAAAATGTGCATTACTGTATCCCATGTAGATGCACCCAGTGTGTCTCACTGGTATTCTTATTACAGGCTTAACACCAAGGCAGAGCTTCGACTACTCTGAGAGGATGGCATACAGTGGATTCAGGCATGTGCATGCTTCTATGTACCTCTCTATTATCTAGCACAGTGATTCTCAACCATTTTTAGATTCAAGGCACCCCTCCAAACCTTTGCAAAATTTAGCAGCATCCCTTTAAAAAAAATGAAATAAAACATATATAATAGGGATATTACAAATATAATTATTCATACATTAGTAATTGATTAGGTCATTATATTTAATTTGTGCCACTGCCACCATGGACAGGTGGAATTGCGCCATATACCTCCTGCAAAACTAAATCAGGAAGTGGCTATGGCCAGAGCACATGCTCTTGCCAGAGCCCTTGCCAGTCTGACCCTGCACAGTGTCTCCCAGAAACAGAGCTGTGCTGGGAAAATGGGATTGTCCTGCATGACTCTGTTTTCAAGAGGCATGTTGGAGCCAAACTGGGAAAAGCTGCAGCAGAAGTCATGTCTGCCTGCATAATGTAATGCAGGTAGGTGCACCCTTCTGCTGCAGCCACTTCTCAGTTCAGCTCTGATGGGCCTCCTGAAAACAGGTATGTGGGGCAATTTCACCTGGCGGGGTGGTGGCAGCAATGATGGTGCTGTAGTACCCTGGCAGCTTTTCATGGCACCCTGGTTGAGAATCATTGATTTGGGAACCTGTGACTGACTTTGTGCCCAGATCTGACTCTATAGCTTCTAGGGAGAGTGCCCTGCTCCCAAGAGACCAGAATACAGCTGCATCATTTGCATACTCATGTCCACCAGCCTGTGGAGTATGGCGCCCCTGCCACTAAGCCCATTCTGTTTAACGTTTTAAGTTGATCTGTGAGGATGAGCAATACAGACCTTTCTGCTAGTTCTGGGAGGCCTGAGGGTAACCAAGGTGAGTAGATTGCCTGCTGCAGTCTTTTGCCTTTTGGCTTGTCCACATGTGCATGGTAGTTGTCGCATGCCGTCTGTTGTGGTGATATATGGTGACTAACGCAGAACTCTCTGGAAGGAGAAGGATCTGCCTACATATCTTTGTGGTTTCTATGAGGGCTCTAATCAGAAGAAGCTTCAGGGAAAAGACAGGTTTATGTGCCACCAACATTTGGGAGGAAGGGAACTTTTTGTGGCTCAAAGGTGCCGTTCTTGGTATTCTACTCATTGCCTGCCTGCCTGAACTGGACTGCCCCAATCAGAGTCTGATCTCTGTGTATTGCTCTGTGAAGATGCATACACTGTCCCCTTTGCCTGCACAGAGAGGCTTGCCACATAAGTGTGAATGGCAAATTTAAGCTGCCTGGGGGTCTTCGTTGACTCTCCAAGGATCTTAAACACCTGACCAGGTCATTCTGAATTGCCCTCCTGGGCCAGGCTTACAACGGTCACAAAGGGCAACAATTAAGGCAAAGCACAATCCAATTTGAATCCTGGCTGCAGCATGTGACTGTTCGTCAGATTTCAATCCAATAGGTTTGTAAAAGGCTAAGAAATATTTGCAAGGTTAGTAGCAGCTGGCTTATTCTTCGGACAAAACTGCACAGCACTAAATCCATTCATGAAGACATTAACTCACACTTAGCACATAATGTGCTGACATTTTCAGTTTACTTTAGACTCTACTGTCAAAGTAATTTCAGACTATAGCAGTGTAGTAAAGTACAAAACAGGCTGCAAAGCACCTTTCAACAAACACATTTCCATGCCAGTTATCAGTGTTACAAATGTATGGATGATGGAATATTTTTATTGTTATGCTGCCACTCATACTTTGTTTGCCATTGATCTTATGTCAGATTAACATTACAGGGAAGATTCTGAGTGACAGCTTGAGTAGAACAAATGTTAAACATAAACTACTGTTTCCCTTGCCTCTCCATCTTGTCATCTTTCTTCAAGATCCTCACAAACTGATTGTGCTGGACCTAGTGTATTTCATTTATTAATAACCTACTGCACGAACATTTTTTCCTTTAATGCAAAATTTAAAAATGAATGAACTATGTAATGACAACACAGCTGTACTAACATAAGATAACACATCGCCCAGTACTCTCCCAATAGAATAAAGAGCCATACTCACATCGATGACACTCAGTGTAGTCAAACACCAGGATCAAAACAAACAAAACCCCAAAACTTCTGCAATGAACAAACAAAACTCAATTTAAACTGAAACAACCTGACAGGATTTTTTTTAAATCTAAAAAAAGAACAGAGAAGAGCCAAAGACTACATTATAGCTGCTATAGACTTTACTTTTGCTACTGGATTAAGTGAATGTAGTACAGATACTATGATAATGGACTGCAATATAAAACCTTTAAGATGCCTAGATAGATGTTACTTATTTTTGAAATTCTTCAGTATGTCTGAAATTGAAATATGCTTTAAGTTCAATGAATGCTTTGTGATAGCCTCATCAGGACAGGAACACAATGGTTCATTAGCAATCACTCCCAGACTTATATAGGTCATGAGCCAGAATAGCTCCATTGAAGCAAATAACAGTCACTGAAGTTCCTGGCTCGTGAGAGCAATCTTCACCTCATGCCTCAGCAGCAAAGAAGGCCATTTATGCATTCTGCACCCACAAAATCCACCTTTATGATTTGCAAGGGATGAAGCAGCCAGTGAGGAGAAAATGATATCCAAATAATCATTTACCTTCTCCTTTGGTTCTATAGTTGATACAAGATAATAATAAGGTAAGGTGACTGTTCCCTCCTTTTCCAACTTGGCTGCCAGGCAGGAAGACAAAGATGACTTGAGAATTGTAGAGCTCGTGTGTGATGTAGAAAGCCAGGAGCTCATTTTTTATGTTGATGGCAGTCAAACTTCTCTGTTGGATTAGTTTGCCACCCATAACTTTCTGCAGGTGAAAACTGGGCTGATGCCGAGTAAATGGATGTATTCAGAAACCCAGGTAATGTGTACCAAATGTGCATATGGATGTCAGTTATAACATCCAGCACTTTCATACTCTTTTATTCTCCTGTTATCTAGGAACTTTTGGCATTATTCCTAGCCAGAACTATCCATGGAATCTTTTACAATAAATTTTTGGTATTTTTTGGTATCCCATTCTATCAGTGCTTGGGTAATTTGATATGGAACACAATTACACTCATTTGACATTGGAAGCTAACCAACAGCAGGTGTCCTCATAAACCCTCATGTCCAGAAGAGGCAATTCCTTTCTTCCAGTACTTGACAATATTTACACCTTAGGTTGTTGCAAATCTTTTCATCAAGGCGTACCTTGTCCCCTGCTGTGGCAAAGATATTATAGACAGCTACAGAGTGCTTGCACACATCAAATCAGTCAAGAGAGCTGCACACATGTTAATCTCCTTGCTGATTCAGCGCCCCAAAGGAATCAAGCTGTCTTTCAAATCTCGGTCCGTCACATTCTTAGGCGAGTCTTCCTCTAGAATGTCAGACCTGTCATCTTTAAGCGTGCAGTTATGGAGGAGCCATTGTTGAGGGGAGAACATTTTTAACATGCTGCAAGTTTGATTTCATCTGAATTAACTGTCTGCCTGTCCTTCATAAACCAAGTTATGTTTGTATACTCTGTGATGTCCATAAGACTGTTGTCCATACAGCTCATATTCTTAAAAACACAAATCTTCAATTTACCTCAAGAAATTCATACATTAGAGACAGGATCCTCACCTCTTATTCTGAAGTCACCTTTCAACACTCCAGTGACTGGAACACATGTACTTCTTCACACTTTGATTTCCATTTCTCATGCACACATGGAGCACTGGAGGCCCCATTTGAGGTATCACTATTCCTAGCTGTCAGATATTTTGGAAGTTGTGCTGTTTTTCTAAAAGCCACAGCTCAGGTCAGCTGGAGTGCACAGCTTATTACTTGTATTTGAAAATTAAAGCATTGCCAAAGGAAAGATAAGGACTGAGGACGTTGACAGAAATTCAGAATTTCATTTCTAACAGTATTTGCTTCTCTATTTCCATTTGTTATTTTTCTAATCTCTCATCATTGGTATTTCTCATCATTGGTATGTTACTTGAAGGCATTGTTGTATAAAGCCTGCAAGCAAGCGCAGGGCATTGAACAACACATCTCCCTGCAAGTCAAAGACAGTTGCAACATTAAACACAACATAATGATGAAAAGTGACCCAAAGTGACTGCATTTTACTCCATCAAACTATACCTTGGCCTCTCACTTTATATCACCCATCATATAATAACTACAAAATTAACTTGTATAATCCCAATGTTGCAGCTAATCTTTTTGGGGGAAATAATGTTACTGGAAAGTTTGCTATCAAGTAATGCTTCTTGTATTTTTTTTTTAAACTCTGTGGAAACCCAATGTCAGGTATTAAAATCTTTCCACCAAGCCAAGGTGGCATAGCTGATAAGAAATGATGTAAAGGAGAGAAAAATGATTAATTTAACCATTGTTCGCCAGTCTCCTTTAGGACTGCATACTTTAAGGAGTGCCTAATGTGATGTTTGGATAACGTATAAGAAACCTACAAGTGAACTCAACGAAGACTTAAAGACTGACTTCTTCCATGAAACTCTAAAATACTAACCCGTAAAAAGCTGCTAATAGCCTTCTTCAACTCAACACTATTTAAAAAGCAAAAATAGAGATGACATTAACAATATAGCCCTGACCTGTGCTTCTATGAATTGCTCAGGGTTACTTGTTACTTGTGCTGGCTTTCAAAGTCTGAGCTAGCTCATGTTGAATTTAAAGGAAGATACTTGATTTTGAAAATATTTGAAACAGAGCCTAACAGAGTGCAGGGGCTTCAGGCCAGAGACTATGTCTAATGCTTAGAGACTATGTCTATGTCTAATGTACAGCATAGAGCCCATTACTAGTACCTGGCAAATAATAAAGAATGATACATGTTAATTCTCACATTTATTTCCACACTTCTAATCTCTCTGTATTTTCTTTTGAAAACAAGAAAAATCCATTAAAATTTTTATACCGATTTTGGACATAATTTGACTTTTCCGAATTGCGTTAAGTCTAGGTGTTTGAACACTGTAAAAGTGGGAAGTTGGAAGCTGACAAGAGCACATCTCAGAAGTGCCTGGGCACATACACATGGTATATTGCTGTGAACACTGTTTTTATTTCCTTTATACAAAAAATAGAAACAACAGACAAAACATACTTGACCAAAAAAACCCAAAAAACAACGCTACTGCCTTGGTCTCATCCAGGAGCCGAGCAGGCAGAGTCCTGACTGAAATTTTTACAGTATGTCATGAAGAAAGGGAAATATAGTCATATTACAGTTTATCCATGCAATAGATGAAGTACAAAAATGTGCTCAGGGGCCAGATCAACGTTCTAGAGGTTGCCTGTGTTATTACAATTTCCAAACCATTACTTTACTCACTCATGCCTTTAAACACTGGACGTTGCAAACAAGTTCAATATCATAACACAATATCATAAAAAAGGGCTTGTATATGGTTTTGCTGCTACAAATTAAGGCATCCTAACAGTCTGTTGTTTTGCTGGTGAGGGTTGTGTCTCGTATTAGTGTTTTAAAAGGATATAGTTCAGGCATTTCAAATCACGCTTGAAGGGAGATAGTGAGACACCATGAGATGTAATTTAAAGAAAGAACTCCTGTAACTCTGGCTCTTCAATTCTTTTTTGGTTGTAAGATTTCTGCCTTTTCCTGTTGATGTTGTTATGCCTGAGAAGAAAAGAAGAAAATTATTCAGGGTCATACCATTAACTCAGAATATATTGTTTAGTGCTCATTTATCTTGTTACATACAGATTTCAAGTTTTGAATTGTAATGAATTGTTCTTTTGGAGTCTCTAAACATGTTTTACTGACTCTCGGCTTAATAATATTTGTCGTCCAACTGACTTCCTTTTGCTTCTCTTGCAAACAGATTTGTGTGCACAGACACAACCCTAATTGCACAAATGGGGCCTTTGTAAACCTCTGTGTAAATTAGGGCACTAATAAAATCTTTAATGAAAATGAATATAATGTTAAACAATTCCTAAGTCCCAGTGAAAGATAATGGGAATTGGACTCCTCGTTAAATCACAAAGTGCTTCAGAAAATATTACACCATGCCAAAACAATAATTATACTGTGAGCTTATTTAGGCAAGGACAAAATCTTATTTGTAGACTGCAACTGTTAATTTTTTCAGTTTTACTGTATAAACATTTTTATCTGAAACACCAGTAAGGACCCCTTCTGTATAATGTGCACCTTAATATCCCATGTAACTGGTTTTGAAAGGTGCATACTATTTATGTTCCCAAAAATGTTACCCTTTCAATTAAAGCAGCAAAACTAAACGGACCGCCCCCCCCCACAAAAAACCTTTATAAAAAAACCCATGCAAATCATTACATAACAAAAAAAAAATTCAGCTCAGAATACTCCAGTGCCTTTTATTTGCCTTTGCTGTAAAACCCAAACCTGTTCTGATTCTCATCAATGAAACCCTTCAATGAACAAGTCTTCAATTGGATTTTCAAAAATGCTGAAAGGGGTTAGAAATCCAACTCCCATTTTCCAAATGAGTTGCATACACTCTTAAAAATCCTCCTTTTGTTTCTTTCTTAGTGGGAAGACTCCTGCGATACAATCAGCACATAGGCCAGATCCTGGGATGAGGTTAAAACTTCACAAAGCACAGGTCAAGGGTGTGCCTCTGAAAAGGTGGCTTCAAGCTCACATTTTCACAGCCCTGATCTTTCTCCAACTCAGTGCAGGTTTGCTGGGTCATTTAATTTATCCCATGCTTCAATGGCCACAGAGGGCTGAATGTGCAGTGAGCAAAGGGCTGCATTAGCCACACACTCTTCATGGCTGGTTTTATTGCCACAGGTAGTTTACAGGAGATGACATCTCTCCAGACCTGCCCAGGACGATGTGGGAATGATGCAGTCAGAAATATTTGGCTAAGTACAGATGTTATACTTTTACTGATATATGTGATCAGAAACCAGCCTACACCCATAACAGAACAGAAGTTTGGCGCACACAGACTGGTTTAAAAATGGTGGAACCTGGCCCTGCCACCAAAGGGCAAATGTGTATTCTGTTTGCTACTGATCTGAACTACACTGCTTACAGAAAACCAAGTAAGTTAGATCAATTCTACCTCAGGCTTTTTGAATGTCTGGACCAAGTCTTCTTGTTCTAAAACCCTGCTTGGTACTGATGGCCAGTTATTCCTCATGCCCACACTTACAACGAAGGATGAACAAAGAAAAATGGGGTTTAAAATGGAAAACCAGAGACAAGTTTTCTCCTGCAAATTATTCTGCTGCTCTTGTATTTACCAGGCATTGCTGACTTCAACTGTCTGCACAGTGTTTAATTTGTAATACCTTTCAATGGTTTTAAATAGACATTTTGAGCCAACTCACCACTATTCTTTTACGTCACTGAATTATGCTGGGTGGGCCCTATCACCCTTCTGAATGTGTGGGCCACACAGAACTGAAATTGATCTCCTTCAGACATGGGGCTCAAACAGCTGCCATGTTGCAGCTCTGCAGCTGCTCCGTGATCTGTACAAGGGATTCAGTTTTTGTAGGTCCCACAATGGCTGGTTCATAATGTACGACTATGAAAGCCTGGACAAAGGAACTATTTAGCTACCTCTCCTTTTTGGGCTTAAACATACCCATCAACAATGTCAAACATAGCACAGCTCTGAATGAATTAGTTTGGGTTCTGGAAACAGTACAGGGGGCTAGATAGCTCTGAGAAGGGCTTATTTGCTCTTTGGAGTGATATGCAAACCTGCTTCAGCTACCTAAGCCAGTTTATACAGAGTTACCTCAGGTATCTCTGCATGGCACTGCATGATACAGTGTAGACTTGTGCATTGTAATTTGCAACTCACCATGCTGGTATTGGAGGGAACCTTAGTGCTTTTTATTTATTTATTTTTACAGTTCCCAGTTCCTGCCAGCCTGAGGGATAAAAAAAATTCACTTGGGTTTCTAGTTTGACTCTCTTGGTTGCAAGCTGAGATTGGCTACTGTTTGTACTGTGAGAGCAGTACATACCATTCCCTTTGCACAGAAGGCACTGCTGACTTGGTATAAGTGATCTTCAGACCAGTTTTGCACTCTTACTCCCAGACTTGTCATCTACTGGACCCAAGAACTTACATTGCTAAAAGTTACTGTTTAATAGGCACTTGGCATTTTAGAAGCATATACCATTAACTACCAGGGACCCCACGATGGTGGATTTCCTTACTGCACTAGTACATTAAGATGCTAACAGCCACAGGCTAATACAGAGTGGGGTTACCATATGTCTGGGTTTTCCCGGACACGTCTTCTTTTTTGGCCCCCTGTCCCCGTGTCCAGTCAGGTTCTTAAAATGTGAGCAAATGTCCAGGTTTTTTGCTTTGCTTCTGCTTTCCTGGACACTAGCAACTTGGCTGCTTGGGGCTGGGAGCAGCGGGCAAGGTGATTAGCTGTCAGGTGTCACGTGCCCAGGTAAGAGACAGAGCGTGTATATATATGTATGTGTGCATGCATGCGCACAAGCACACGTGCAGGAACTGCATGGGCAGCAGGGGCGGGGGTGGGACAGGGTGCTGTGGGTCAGAAGTGAGGGGCACTGGTAGGGCTAGGGGGGCACTGGCTTAGAAGGGAGGGGCAGAGGCAGGGCATAGGCATAATACTGCTCCCCTCCCCCCCCACAGATGCCTTCTTTTTTGATACTGGAAATATGGTAACCCTAAAGAGCCTTTTACTGATAAGATGCATCAGTGCTCAATTTAATCTACTACGGATCTCAAGCGACTTAAACTGTGAAAACTAAAACACCTCACTGGCATCTAGGGTACAAAGAATTGCTAACATTTGTTTGGATTTGTAACAATCAAAAACTAACCAGTCCTTTTAAAAAGAAAAAAAGTCATTCTCTACAATTGGAATTTAATTTTAGGCTATTCAGAGAACTACAGTGAATCTCATTTTAAAAAGGCACTGGAAATTTTAATAAATGTCTTGGTTATCAAATTATGGCCAATTTGGAAAAGTAAATAGCCAACAGAGCCCCTGACATAACTGAATTTTTTAAACACATCTATAAATCAAGCAAACAAAACTACATCCCCAAAACATAAAACATAAGTGAAAAAAGAAAAGAAAATGAAGATACACTGTAGCCAGGGCTGAATGGGAATGAGACTGATCTCAAATTATTTACCACATGCTAATAAAATCCCACATACAAAGCAAGGGTACAAAGACTAGTACTCTGTCAAGATAAATAAGCCATGGATCTAAAGACCTGCATAGGGTTATAACTGCAGAGATTACTACTCCCTTTTTCAGGAAGGTTTTTCTCTTCGGGAGCAGCTGTGTAATGCCTCAATCAGAATTACAGTCTTCCAAACCCTTCCAGGGGAAAGTCATACTCTTCCTAATGACTGGGAACATGAATAATGATGATTCTTCTGCTGGCCCACTGATTCTCACAGGCCGTGTGCTTTGATGTGGTAGAAAAACAACAGGCACATACTTACTCACTTTGAATGTTAAAAAATCATGAGAGACTAAAATGTATCACAAGATTATAGCAAAAACCTGAAAAACCCTTAAAAACATACTACTTTCTGGCCTACTTTTTTGATTTCTGACTTTTGGAAGATCTCCCCTGTTTTAGAATTTGTTTCAGGAAATTCATCCTGTAAGGAATAAGACATATTCACATCAACAGAGGAGTCCACCGTTTTTACTCTTGGATAGCAGGGGATGCTTCCCAAAGCACGAGCCACACATCCCTCCTCTGTACTCTGACCTCTGCAGCTTCATCTTGATAGCAGGCACTACCTCTTGCCTCCCTTCTTCCATGGCTGCTGAGAACTTTTCCCTTCAATTCACACTAGGTAGCATGGACCCCTGCTCAACTCCTTTCCTCTCCCTGGATGTTCCCATAGTCAGTTCTACAGCAGTACAGTAAGGTCAGACTTGGCTCCATGTAGGCAGGAGATTGGGTGAGATGCACACGGCCTTGGGATAATTTTTCCCTCCTCACCCATGCCATTCCTTCTTTGATTCTCGTCCCTCTATACAGAGCTGGGCATGGGAACAAACTGCCCCAACACTGGCTTCTTCATTCTCCATCTCCTCTGGGGACAAAGCAGCACAAATAAGGGAGAAAATTTCATCTGTGCAGCACAGTAAGCAGAGAAAATTCTTTAGTGGGATGGCTAAACACTGCAGTCCAAAGTCTGCAGCTCAGTCTCCCAGTAGAGGCCTCTACTGATGGCAGCCAGGACTGCGGCATCAGTTACTCCTCCAGTAGAAAGCCTGTGCTGCCAGGAACTTCTCACGGGAGGCCAATTTTAATGCAGTGATGTTGTGAGCTGGCAATCTTATAAGATGGTTCTAGCTCAGGGACTACATTAAGGGCCTCAGAACTCTCAAAAGTCCAGGAATCTCGGATATTTGGCTGGAGAATGTCAACTGATTCTACGAGACATCAATGTACTTGACACATTTCTTACGTTAGAATAGGTTGAAAGTAAAGAGGGGAAAACTGTATACAAAGTGTTGTGAATGCCTGGATTCTGATTTCATTGACAGTGATATGAGATCAGAAGCAGATCCTAGTTTGAGCTATTTAAATGAAGTTTCTCATAAGTCAGAAGTACCCGGGTTATAAAAAAATCTAGATACAAGCTCAATACATTTTAGAAAGGGATGTTTTTAAAATAACTTACACTCCTGATGTGCTAAAAAAAGAAATTTTAAACTTTTCAAATGTTCAGTCAGTACCTTAAAGGTATCATGCTGGTTATGTTTATGTTCAATAAAGGACTTTAAATCCTGATGAAACTGAAAAACTACTCACAAAGTTGCTTGCAGTTGATCAAAAATGATGGGGCTGTTTATAGAAAATTCTCTTTTAAAACAAACATATATCTTATCCAATGCTGCTTTTTCCTAGGTATGTTTATGGATCCTGAGGGACTGGTCTCTGTCTGCCTGACAATCCTAACAGAGTATACTTAAATAAGAAAGATTAAACTCATGGTCAAAATCATAAGATTTTGTTTTAACAAATTTAATTTCTTCTCAAGTCTGAGGCAGGGTGAGGAGAACACTGTACTTTATGTTCAAAATATGACTGAAGGTTGATCTGCCCTTCTCATGAGAGGAAATTTAATTTCCATTCTCATCTGGTACTTGATTTTCATTCAACGGAGACTAAGGGCTATGCCAAACTGAGCTAAACTGCATGGTGGATTTACGAGCATGACTACTTTTAATGCATGCTCAGCACTGAAATCTCTCAGCTAGTTTGCTTGTGACATTAGCAAAAAAATCGAGCACAGGTTTTTGTATTTCTAGGAAATGAAGCATCACCCCCGTGCATTCCCTCTCCCCACACAAATCCCATGCCACATTCATCATTTAATCTCAGGTGTGAATGATTTTAACGAGCACATGCAATTAGGGAAAAACAAACAAACAAACAACAGCAAAGCAAAACATTTCATTTTGCATCAGCACATACCAAGCATAGTTATACAGGCGTTCTTCAATCAATGTGCTAGAAGAAAGATTGGTGTAACTGGAATAATGCCCCTAGGGAAGTACAATGCATAAATCAGTTGAAAACATGCAAAGAGCTTATCACATGCATAATATATACTGGCCTATTAAAAGGAAACATGCAATCAAAAGACTTCAGTAGGGCATTTTTAACAAGGAAAACTTTAAAAAAAAGTTACTTGAAACCATATGTAGCCTACTACTTTGTCAAGGTAAAGAAAGTTAACTGCCTGTGTTGAATAGCTGTGAAACGCCAATATTTCCAAGTGAATTTCATATTTAACAAAGAAAACATGTAAACAAAGCCCCTTCACATTCAGCAAGCATTTTGTAGACCAGAGGCCAGATCCTATTCCAACTGGTAGGCAAATAAGTGACCTTGGGGGCCTAAGTGCAAGTCTATTTAACCGTGCTTGAGGGCCTAGTCAGTGCAGAAAGTGTCTTGGTCCTCCTCTTCCTCACTGCTTTTTTGTGACTCAGTCAGAAGGGTATGAGGATGATGAGTTACGGAAGTAGATCAGTTCTAAATGACTTGATCAGGAAACACACTTAAGCACCCAAATCTGTGCAAATGCTTAATGGATGGAAAAGAATGTGGTCCTAAGTGTCGTGCTGCATGCAATGACTGACAGAGTCAACATTTCTTTTCAAATGTCTTAATCTTACTTAGGCAGACAAGGTTCCTTAGGTGAATTTGATATCTTTTATTAGACCAACGCAAATGGTTGGAGAATAGTTATTAAGCAAGCTTTCGGGTTCAAAAACCCTTCGTCAGGCTAAGGAAGCTTCAGCAGTTGGTGTGTGCTCTTCCTGGATGGAATCTTACTTAGTGAGCAAGGCATATCATTTATGAGCTCATGCTCTGTCATAACATTTTTGATCCTCTTATCTCAGTGAAATATTGGAATCCATCCTTTTTGAAAGGGTTGGATTTTATGGTGTTAAAATTAATTCTGTGTTTAAATGGCAGCTCAACTAAACAAAATGTAAGGCAGCTTAAGGCTCAGATTTGTGTCCCTTACTCCTGCTGCACAGTTCTAAGCAAACTTTACTGTGTGGTCCCCTCTTTGGTCCTCTTTGTATACTTTCATTTAATATTTTGGCATTACATGCTCTATGGATACTGAAGTCAAATGTAATGTCACCCACAAGATGCTCTTTCCACTCTTCTCCTTTTTTTTAAATATCTGAACGTAGTTTTTCCTCCCACCTTGTCTTGTTTGTTCTGAATGATATTTTTATACGGTACATAATTTCTCCCTCTTTTCTCCCTTCATCCTAGTCCCCCTTTATGTTTTATATTATTTTAGTTTTTTTTCTTACCTTCATCTTTTTCTGGTCATCCTATTAATCCTTCCTTCTCACACGTCACTATCCCTCACACAGATTATTAGCCATGACACCCCTCATATTTTCTGTTCTCCACCCCTTTAGACACAATCCTTCCCATACACACACACTGCACTCGCATTCTTTGCCTTGGTGCATCCCTTTCATGTTCTCTCTACTTCAAAGAAGACATTTAATTTGGGGGAAGGGGTTCTTATCCCTTTTTCAAACAAGGGAGTAGTTCACTTGAGCAGAAGCAGCCATCTTTTCCCTGTGTATTATAGAAAATACATTTAGTTGCATCTCAAGGATGTGTGCAATGATCAGAGTACAGACCACTCTGCCATGAGTACTCTCAGATGATAGGTATCAGGCAGGTACTCTTCTTGGAGAGCAGGATATATAAGAGGAAGAAACCTGAAGCTGAGAAGGGTTTAGGAAAGGCCTTATGCAATGCATGGGACAGTACTAGAGCCCAGAGTGATGCAGGGAAGAGCAATGCAGCCAGCGGGAGACGTTGATCTTATTTTTTCCTGATTTATTTTTTGCCACTCACTCAATCCTGGCAGCCATGTCTTTAGTCCAGGGCTGGCCTGAATTTATTTACTCCTTAGAAATCCAAAGGATTTTAAATTTATGTTCTCATTCTATGAGCTGGCATTCATAATATTGATAAAAAATCCTCTTGGGCAAAATTTACCCCTGTGCAGAAGGCTTGGCACAGAGCCAGTGCATCACTAAAGGCAGTGGAGGACTTACAGGATGCAACTTTATGCATGGGGTACATTTCACCCTCCTCAATTCCTTCTCCATCTAAAATGCCCTGAAAAATGAAAGTGAAATATGATCTGCATTCTGCAGTTTTTTTTACCAGACCAGCACAGAGTATTGTGCATGAGGGCATGAGTGATCGAGTATGTGTGTGTGCTTGTGTGAGCACTGTAGAGGGGAGGGAAGAAGAGGTCGTTATCTTAACTAGAAGCAACATTGTTCATTATACAGAAAGGGGCAGGGGGGGACGGAAGATTCCCTGGTTTCTCCCCACCACTCCCACACCCCTCAAAGCACTCACTGTCTTATTTTTTCCTTTAATAGGAGTGGTCGGATTCCCTTTGCTTTCTGCAGCCTTCCTTCCTAATGAGGTAAATGGCAATGTTGATGAGGTTTTGATCAGATTTGCTGTTTGACAGTTGTTGTTGTTGTTTTGGTTGCCACTCAGAGTCTCCATTATGGATCTAAATGTTCCAAATGGCCTTTTCAACTGGTCCCCAGCTTCTGTGCTGAGTGGAGCTCTTTGGACTGATTTGCCCCGGTCTTTATCCTTTTCCTCATTCAGTTCAATCTCTGTTTGCTCCACCTGTGCCACAGGCTCCTCAAAGGTTACTCTCAGTTTTAAATTTTGGGAGGTTCTGCGCTTTGAAGAAGGGGACTTGAGGGCACTTTTAGGACTTGTAGCAACCTTCTGAACAGTAGCACTGTCAGAGTTGGACTGAGAGGTATCTCCAGAAACCTGGCTCTGAGATACGGTACCAGACTGATACTGAGACTCATTATCTGGATCGCTGCTTTCTGAAGTAGGGGACGGACTATGGCCATCCACAGACTTGGAAGCTCTAATGCCAAAGGGAAACCGGCGCCCTGCTGCTGTAGTGTGTTTCTTAATCATCAGGTGCAAACTCTCTGTGCTTTCAACACTTTCCACAATGGGTTGCGGCCTTGGTTTGTCAGTTCTTTTCATAGGAATGTTCTTCTGGTCCTCAGAATTATTTGAGTCTGTATCAGACTCACTCAGGGATCTCTGCATAAGCTGCCTCAGTCTGGCTAACTTCAACTCCCTTTTCTCTGGCAAAATTTTCTTTATGTTCTTGGAGGAAGCATGAGCACCCTGAAATTCCAATGACAGCTTTTCCTGCATACAGACATTCTCAGAGATTTCCTTCCCCAACAACTGGCGCAGGATTTTATCTGAATCCTCATCTTTCATCTTGGACCGAGTGCGGTTGGCAGTTCCCACGCTGCCAAGAATCTGAATCCCATCTTGGGTGTTCAATTTACTTTTCGATACAGACAAGTCATCTGAGTCACACGGTTTCCACTGGGGTTTGCCAGAAGCAGGAGATGATGGTGAACTTGAAAAAAGAGAGAGAGATTTTCAATACCACAGTCAAGTTTATGCAGATATCAAATCCAACACAACCATTTCTACTGTGCAAGTCTGTCTCAGCATATTCCTACTTATCTTGATCTTTGCTCATGTGGAAGCCATTATTATAGAGCTACTGGAACAACTACGTAACTACAGATGTAACACTATTTCCATTCTAAACTAGGATTTGATGCCTTAAGTTTCTAGCTTTTAGGGGGAAAAACCCCAACATTCTTTAAGATAAAATTCTGAATAGCTATTTAAAACAAGAGTTTTGGATAAAAATTTGAAGAAAAAAAAGCTACTTTGAAGTTATGGGACTTATCTGTTTTTTGAAAAAAGATAAAAATCCTGCACTTTTGCTAACTATTTTGACCCATGTTAGAAAAATACAGCCTTGCACTGGGTTTCTACACAGAGGTGAATCTTATAAATGTTAGACTTAGCCCAATATTAAAAGCAAACCGAGTAATATTTAATATTAAAAACCGAGAGCTATTCATACACAAAATCCTTTTAGTTTTAGAATACTGAAAGGGTGCAAATAATTATATGCTAATTTATTTTACTATCATTAGGATGATAAATTAATCAGCCCCCCCACCCAAGTGCTAGGAAGTGAAGAAATACCAATTTAAAGTCTTTTTTTGTCAAGGACTTATGTTACAGAGACCCTTTCATTCCCCAGGACATCAGCCAGAACATTTTGCTTTTTTTTAGTACAAACTGTGAGACCCTGCCTTTACCTATGGATGAGGGTAATGGGACAAAATTAAGTTCAGTTTGAACCAGTGTAAAGAGAAATGAAATTCACGTTTATCTAACAACTGTTATCCCAATTACTTCATAGTTCTAATAAGGTACTAAATTTATGTACTACTAATTACTAACCACTAATTACTATTAATGAGCTAACCACTGCACCTTGATAAATGTTCATCTGGGAATATGTATATTACAGAGTAATAATACTGAAGCACCCTCGTGTCCCAGCCAGACCCTCCCACAGAACACTGAGCAGGGTGAGGGGAGTGGCCCTGAGCTGGTAGACTGACCCCCGGGCCCCCTGCCAGTCAGGGATTCTCCAACTCGGCTCAACGTGCTGTGATCCTGGGAGCACATTAAAATGGCACACCTAGAAGAAATAAACTCTTAGAGCAATAAGCCCTGCAGTCTATTGCTTCGCATTAAGTGCACATGTAGATGCACCCAGAATGTCCAATATTTACATATCATTTTAATCTGTCCGTTTAAAAGATGCAAACTGCAAATAAGTAGTAAAAAGAAATGCATTCATTTCTTACAGATGATGCTTTACACTATTTCCAATGTGTGAATGATTAGATCATTACATAGACCAAGACCTGTCCTGATAACAGTTATACCATGTAAAGATTCCAGCTTAAACTATTGCAAAATTCCACTCCTATTACCTTGGGGATGTTGGTAGTGATACGCTCTCTGTTCTCTGGGCCTCTAAAAGCTGCTGGAGTTGATTCTGTAATGTCACATGTTCTACTGTTTGCCTGTAAGGAAATATTAAACAGTTGAATTCATTTTTTAAAAGCTGACAGCTCTACTTTACTCTGAGATAAAGGATACAACTTATGCAACGTAACACTTGGTTCATCTATAATTTCATTTTCAAATATAGACAATACATATATTAACATGCACAAGGAGGGTCTGTTGTCTTGTAAATTCCTCTCTGTCAGTGGGAAACCTGTGATCACTATATAAGAGCACTTCTAAGAGCTGCCTCATTTATATAAATTATTTAATACTGGCCAGTTTGGTATAAGTTAAAAATGAAGAATCCTAAGCAGCAACTTTGATCTTGTGAGATCCCTTCCAACCCTAATATCTAGGAATCTATGAACTTTCTGGAGCTGTTTGATTCACGAAGATTAATCCTTATGGAGCCAACTGTAAAGCATAAGCCAAAGCAAAATTAAGCATAATGCATAGTAAGGGAATAGTCTGTTCTCTTTCATAGAAAAAGTTCCCTGGCTCAGTTGCTCTGGAGAGAAAAGGCAATATTTACTCCTATTCCTTCTATAAAACAAATCACAGAAGTGTAAAGAGAAGTACCATATTTCACAGTGTACAAAGTCAAGTTTTGAAGCCAAATATTTCACTCTTAAAATTCAACCTCAACTTATACACCATCCCCTGTGAGCAGTGTTGCCTTGGACCCCCCTGGGAGCTCAGGCAGCACATGGCCTGCTGGCAGTCAGGCTGGCTAGCCCTGGGGGGCACCACTGCAGAGGGAAGGACTGGGCCCCCCTGCAGCTCAGGGGATGCTTGACCCACTGGCAGCTTGCCCCTCTGGTCCCAGGGCAGGCAGGGAGGGTCCGCAACAGGAATAATCAGGCCCCTCACCGCTTCTGCTTTAAAGCAGGCTCCTGTGGCTAGCGGGATGTCTGGCATCACCTGGGAAGGGGCCGGCCTTGTTTGACACCCCATGCTACCCATGGGGCATGCTAGCATCTTCCCAGGCAGCCCCAGGTGCTCTGTGGGATGCAGGAGCCTGCTGAAGGCAGAAGCGGTGAGGGGCCCAATCCTTCCTGCTGTGAAGCCTCCGTAACTTCCTGGGAGCCCACCAGCATGCTGCCTCTCCCACGAGCCCGCACGGGTTTCCAGCACCTTGCACACGAAGGCAGGATTGACTTATATAATAGATCTACAAAAATCCTACATTTGTTGTACAGAAATATGAGGTTGACTTATACACTATGTCAACCTATACATTGTAAGATACAGTAGATGGGGCCATTACCAACAAAGCGGGGCTGGGCCAGTGCAACAAGGGCAGCAATCTCCATTAACCCAAAGGATAGTATAGAATGTTCTTCCTGTGCACCTATAGCAGTTAGTTAGAGAGAGAGAGAGAGAGAGAGAGAGAGAGAGAGAGAGAGAGAGAGAGAGAGAGACTCTGTCTGCCTGAGACACTATCTTCACACTATTCCTACTGCATCTTTGCATCATCTCTGCATAGGGCAGTGCCATAACTACCATTGCTTAGCTCTTAATGGGCATGCCTACTCGATCAATTAATGCAAAGCAATACACTCCAGCACTTATTGAGCCAAAGTTTAATGCTCCTGGGCACGCTGTTTGAATGTGCATGCGGGACCTCAGCATGTTGAGCTGGGTTAGAGCAGCCCCGGCTGGCAGGGGACCCCAAGGGTCAGCCTGCCAGCCTGGGACTGCATCTGCCCAGCTCAACGTGTTATAGGAGGGGCTGGCTGGGGCACAAGGGTGCTCCAATGTGGGGCTAGCTGGCAGACAGCCTCCACAGTGAAGCACCCTCATGCCCTAACCAGCTGCATCAGCATCTACATGTATAGTGCTGTGGAGTAAAATGCTCAGCAGCAGGGTAGTAGTTATATTTACAAGTACTACCCTGCTGCAGGATTAATTAGTTTCCTGCAGCCTAATAGAACCGCATGTATAGATGTGAAAAGTTTACTATGGAGCTTATTAGTCTATTGCACAGCAAAAATCTCATGTAGATGCGGCCACTATGTACAAGCTTAAGGATCACAGGATAATATGATGGCTCCAATTGCCCCATGGTGTCAGGCAGGCAGGCAGTACTGCTTCTGCCCAGCAGCAGCAGGCATCGGCTGAGGATAGGCGCAGGGGTTCTACTGCAGTGGGCAGGTGGTGGCATCAGCTGTGGATGCTGCGGGCAGGTTCAGGAGCTCAGAAGCAGAACCTGCCAGTTGCATCCACAGTTGACCCACTGCCCTCCTGACATCGTAGAAGCTCCTGCCCAGAGCCCTGACCCGGACCCTGCCAATAGCATCAGCTGTGGACCCAGGCAAAAGCTGCTCCCTTGTGGGGCAGGCAGCAGTGTCTCTCCTTGTTTCTCTTCTCTGCCTTCTCACTCCCTCCCTTTCCCTTCAGAACTCAGCTGAAGCTACAGTTCACCAAGAGGCCAGATGCTCAGCTGTGGACTCAGGCATAAGCTACTGCTATGTCTGGTGAGCATCACTATCCACGTCAGCAGCTCCTGCCTGGGTCCACAGCTAACCACTGGGGATCCTGGCAAACTGCAGTTTTGGCCATGCTGTGGAAGGGAAGAGAGAGAGCGTGAGCAAAGAGGAGTGAGCAAGAGTGTGCAAAGAAGAGTGAGCGAGCAACAGAGAAAAAGAGCAAGAGAGACAAAAGATGAATGTGGCCTTCGACAAGTCCCCAAAACTCATTAAGCAGCCCTCCAGCTGAAATGACTGCCCACTGCTGATTTAGTCATATGCCTCTGGAAACATTTTCCTACTTCATTTAGAAAAAGAGTTCTCTAAAACAGAATTGTGAAGAAGTCTGACCAACCAGTCTTTGCTAGTAACTTCTTAAGAGACCTAAGAATGTGTGTACAGCCCCAGACATAAGTTTGATTCAAGCAGCTTTTGCTTAGATCCAGATAAGGCACTGCACGAGGAGGCTTACAGTCCCTGCAGACATCATATGAATCAAAGACCATGGGCTAAAGTGTACAATTTAAGCTGCAGTTGGTATTCTCATTTTCTCCCTTTCTGTTGAAATTACTACAACCCTATGTCATGCACTTAAGAAGTGTACAAGTTTGAGGGTAGGTCCAGGCATACATTTGAAATAGTAAAAATTTCCAAAAAACATTGTAGTGCCACAAAAATATAGTGTGAAATGTGTGTACAGCTATTCAAGTGCCCAGTCATCCAGACAGCTGCAGAGCATGTACCAGCAGGTCCTGTAAATGCTGTACTCCTACTGGCACAGAGTCAAGGCCTGCCACCGCTCCTTCAAAGAGCCTTCTCAGCTCCTGTCTGGGATGGTGTACAGTGCCATGTTTGGCCACATAGACATGACTGAGACCTGGGTCATGTGATCTCCCATTCACCAACCAATTTGGCATAGGTAAATTCATAATGGGAGAGGCAGTGTGGGAGATGTTCTTAGCTATTTGTGATGATCCACAGCTATCAGTGCCAGCACTGTGATTCACCCATCACGTCAATCCTCAAGAAGTTTGCAGTGGGGGGAGGGTCCTGATGCTCCTTCCACTTTTGGGGAGGAGGGGAAGGGGGCTGTAGAGTCTCCCCTTCACCCCAGTAATGGCCTTTGCATATTAGAGCAGTCAGTCAGTCAACTTAGCGCACACAGATCTCTTGGCTGCAACTCCTGTAGGGCTCTGACACTCCCTACGCTTCAGGAGGTGCTGAAGTCTCCCTTTCACCCAAACTGTGTTATTTATTTACCACTTTCAAAAACTGAGAGCTGGTTTCTTTGAAGTACCCAGATGCAAGCTTAACCACCCATGAGTTCCTGCTCTGTCCCTTCTTTGGCTTGTAAATAACACTGGTGATACTGATGTGATGGGAATAGAGAGGGCATGCACTTTTTGCATGGCAGAAGGTGTCTAGCAGGTGGATTCCAACCATGTTCTTTGAGCAAGAACAATTTTATCCTGTTCACAAAGAAAGAAGGGCTGCGCAGGAAGTCCATGTGGCAACCTGTCAGCCTAGCTCTGCCTCCCTGGGGCAATAGTTCGGTGTGACAGACAGATTTCCTGAAGTCATTGGGGGTAGGCATGAGGAGCAAAGCCTCGAGGGAGGCTGGAGGATCCAGCCATGCCCTGTGAAGCTACAGATCGCTGTACATGTAATACACACGGCACTAGAAATTGTCACTCTGCCAACAAGCTGCTGTTGGAAAGCACATTTCAATGTAGAACTGCCATTTTTCCCCTCAACAAATCACTTGAACAGTGGTATGCTTGATTTCTGCAGCACTAAAAGGACAAATTTCTAAGTACAAATGTAGTCCCCGGCCATAGCCTGAACTATACCGATTCAAAGACACCACAAGAACATGGAATAACCTGTTGTAAAAGAATGAAAAGGTATATTATACAAAGCTTTGATCTGCCAACCCTGAGAAGTGTGTTGGGGAGAACACGGCATGGAAGCATTTGTGGTTGCTGAAGTCAGGGCCACACCGTCCTGGTTGAGGTTAAGATAGCACAGGGGCATCCCAGCTTATGCCAATTTAGAACTCTGCTCAGCTATGTCCTTTTCTCATTTTCTGTTTATGCCGGGGAATAGGGAGCAGGCAGATGGCTCAGGAATCAGTGAAGCTGCCTCTGCCACCTTTATGCTAGTGGAATATTTTTGCTGCTTATGTGAACATTTCCACGGGCTCCTCCTGGTTATTGTTATGTGGCATAATATATGCTTAAGATGACTGCAGAAGCTGGCTGTAAATTTCCTGGGATGGAACCTTTGATTTCTCTTTCTATTGACAAACACTGGACACAGGCTAAATTAGGGTACCATCTCAACTAAAAAAAAACCGTTTGTGGATCTTGCTATTTAGACTAGCGCAGACAAGCTTTAAATACAAGGCGGCTGAAGATGGGTATTGTAAAGGTCTTATTTGCTTGGAATGTAATCAGTTTGATTTACTCCCCAGACCTTCAAGCATATGTATTTGTACATTATTTTAAGTGGAGCTCTTGTCAGAAAAATACCATATAAAAATAGTG